CCAGTGGGGGGGGGTGGGGGGAAGCTTCTCCCCCAAACTCTTCATCTTCCCCCCCAAAACTTCAAGCTTCCCCCCTGTGTACTTCTGTAACTGCAGGCATGTACATACACATGTATGTACACAACCTTCCCCTCCTGGTCAACTGCTCTGAGCTTCCTCCCCAAACAAAAATTTCTAGATAAAACCCTGAACACACTTAATTATTAACAATCTGTTTTATGTACATTAATATAAATTATTCAGTTTGAAATACTGATCAACTATTGTGTATCAATGATGAGAATTACTGACCTGATGAAATCCTGTAATAATGTATCTCATTACATCTACCATCAGCTGAATACTGAGCATTAGGTTGCTTTGGAGTATTGATAGAAGATGATCCACTTCCTCCTATTATTATAAGATAGTCTTCACTGTCAAAATTAGCAGATATCATTCTACAACGGGCCTTCTTCATTGGGCCACGATCAGAACTAGGAGAGAGTTCCCTCCACTTCAATGAATCCACATTGAAACAGTGCAAGCTGTTTCGATAACCACCAACACCAGATCCACCGAAATAATATATGTCCTTCCCAATAGCTATGATTGAATAGGCCCAGGTACCTGGTGGTGGGGTACCAGTAGTAGGTTTCTGGTCCCAAGCACCAGTTGGTAAGTGATACACCTCCATCACATCATAGTCTACTCCAGACCCGGACCCACCCCACATATATAGGTAGTCTCCTACCTTTACTGTGGAGTGACTACTTCTCTTCACTGGTTGATAGCCTATAGAGAACAAGAGGTACCAGTAACAGAGCAACAGTAATATAGTGATGAGTTAGAATAAGGACAAGATACAGAGGAGTAAAGTAAGTGAGAGAGTAAGAGAGACAAAGAATGAATGAAAGAGATACAAAGAGAAGAGAATAGTGGCCCTCACTTTTAAATGATGCCATTCAGTCTTGCAAAATACCAGCCCCACCCAAAACCACAAGGTAGGGCGTGGTCAATTGAGGCCACACCCACCACATGAAATCCATTCTCTCCTTTTACCTAGTGAAAACAGAATTTGATGTCATATCATCTCACTGGTAGGTAAGGATGGGACTAGAATCTTGAAACTGGCTCCTAATAAGGTGACAGAACTAAGTAAAGAACTGTGTACTGGTACTTTGTCTCTCAAGACAGCCCCTCCCCTTTTTGACTTTTGGACTACACTGTACTAACTATATACCCTCAAAGTTAGACCATTTATTTTCATGTGTGGTTCATTTTGTGCTTTGTTCAACCTCTGTTTCCTTCTCTCTCTCTCTCCAGTTATAAAATGATGTGTTCTTGATGATGATTGTAATACCATCATGTCCGTCTCATGGTCTGTGAAAAGGATACATGTACATGTAAGTCCTAATATGGAATTGAAACAGATTCATACACTAATGGAAATGGATGCATGTACATGTACATATATATCAGAATGATGTTAATGAGAGAATAGATTGAATGAGAAAACTTGAAATAATGAGGAGTAAGAGAGAGAGAGGGAGGGATCTCAGCTTTTATTTCATGTGCTCCTCCTATTAGCTATACTGCATGGACAGTATTACCTCAATTTGTCTTCATAACATTGTCCATTAATTGATACATGTACATGTACATGTGTATTTATAGTCATTTTTAGTTAATGATACATGTACATGTACTGCATGTTTTTTTGTTTTTCTTGCTTTTAGCTGCTTCATTGTAGTTAACTTATGTTAGAGTTTGCGGGTGGAATTCAGCAAGGCAGTTCTAGTTAACTCAACAAGTTGATAAATAACAAAGAGTATATAAATACAAGAGAGATGAAGAGAGAGAGAGAGAACAAAATAGAACCATTCAGGAATAAGACTATAACAAGAACAAGAAGATAACCACAGAAATGTGCATGCATCAGAACTTATATCATGGATAACAATATTCATACACAGTAATAATAACCACAAAATTAAAAATACCATTTACAGTAGGTAACATAACATATTTACATGTAATATCAGATTGATAAGTGCTAATATAATACTTCTTACACTCCTTCTCACGTTCAATCTGATTCTGTAACTCCTG